ACACGTGCCCGGAAGCCTCCTACTTCCTGGTGTGAGGCCTGGTCACTCCTGCCTTTGGTCGGCCTCCCTTGTCCTCAGCCTGTCAGATGGGCCTGCCGTGGACAGGACACTCAACCCTGACGTGTCCTCGGAAGACCGGTCGCGTGGAGGAGGGCGGAGGCCGCGCAGGAATGTGGAGCCTCCCGGCTCACCCGAATCTGCCCTGGGATCGGCCCGTCTTTCTGCGCTGTCTGTGCATGAGTGGCTGTGTCCCCAGGGACCTGCGCCTTCCCCAAAGAGCCACTTACACGCGGCTCAGACATCGCACGGTCATCTCTCCCGAAGGACAGTGCGGGGGAGGACTGTGTGGGAGGGGACTGGCTTCCGCCGGCGGCCGTGGCTCAGGTGACCCGGGTTCACGGCCCTGTGGGGCGTGTCCCCTGCAGGTGCCGGACAGGAAGCGGGCTGTGCACTCTGTGGCCATCCTAAAACATAGCCCTGCTCTGGACGTTAGCTGGGGCGCCGGCTCGGGCACCGCCCGGAGCTGCTGACCAGTGCCAAGGCCGGCCGGCTGGCCTGCTGTCTGCTGATGGGCGCCCCAGGCCGCTAGTCGCCGTCTGTGTGTCTGTGTTCCCCTGGCCATCTGTTCACTCCTGGGGCCTGGTCTTGGGACAGAAATGGAGGCCCTGTAACAGGGTAACTGGATCAGAGGAGCAAATGAGAAGCTCACACCTGGGTCACCCCAGGACACTCGCACTGCAGGACGGAAGTTCCACATTCCCTCTCTGTCCTGCTCTCTCAGCATCTGACCCCCTGCCCGGAGGGCCACGGGGTGGTCGTCAGCCCCGGCTGGCGGGAGGATCCAAGCTGGGGGTCAGTCCCAAGAGGCTCCGTGGGGCAGAACCCACCCTGTGCTCATCCGTTCAAAGGGTTGCCTGCGAGGGTGCCATAGGTGGACCGTGGGGGACGGTCCTGGGGGCACCGGGTGACTCCTGCGCCCTGAGCTCTGACGCTGGCTCTCGTGGGGTGCATAAAACGAGACCTCAGACACTGCATTGCAGTGAAGAGAGGGGCGGGGTGTCTCTGCCCGGGGTGACTGCGTGGCCCGGGGTGTTGGGGCGTCGGAGCGTCGAAGCCCTGCCCAGAACCCAGCCGTACGAGCTGAAGCCATAGGCTGTCAGAGAAACGGTGGGGAAAATCTTCCCAGCCTCGGACTTGGCAATGGTTGCTTAGCTACGATGCCGAAAACACAGGCAACAAAAGAAAAGAAAGATAAAGTGGCTAAACTAAAAACTATTGTGCAGCAAAGACTATTATCATGAGAGTGAGGAGACAACCCACAGAATGGAAGAAAATATTTGCAAATCATATATCTGGACGTTAGAACTAACGTCCAGAATACATAAAGGCCTCTTACAAATCAGCAACAAAAAGTCCCAAACAACTCAATTTAGAAACGGGCAAAGGACCGGAACAGACGTTTTTCCAGGGAAGATACAGGAATGGCCAGCGAGCCCATGGAAAGAAGCTCAGTGTTCCCGATCCTCAGGGAGATGCAAGTCAAAGCCCAGCGAGACTCCGCACCCCGCGGGACGGCTGCTGCCCGCACCCTGAGAACCCGGGAAAGAATGCGTGCTGGCGGACGTGCAGGCGGGGCCCCTCGGGCACCGCTGGCGGGAACGTAAGACGGTGCGGCCTCGGGGGACCCGCGAAGGTTAGAACTGGAAGGGCCACGTGGTCCAGCGATCCCGCGTCTGGGTACGCGCCCGGGAGGAGAGAGCGGGGTCTCCAGGAGGGCCTCGCGCCCCGATGTTCACAGCGCATCCGTCGCAGCAGCCAACAGGTGGAGCACCCCGAGTGTCCACCCGCGGGCGGCTTAGACGGGGAGGAGATGCGGCAGCTGTGGCATCATGCGGTCTTCATCCTTTTGCGACTGGGGGCGCTGGGGGTGAGTGTGTAACAGGTACACCCTGGTGGGGGCTGGGGGTGAGTGTGTAATGGGGACAGAGTCTCGTTTTGGGGCGAAGAGTTCTGGAGATGGTGGTGGTGTGAATGTTCTCCATGTCACTGATTGACACTCAGAAATGGTTAAGACGGTAAATTAATCTTACGTTTGTCACAATAAAAAAAATACCCCTAAAACCCAACCACAGCACCTACAGCCCAAGCCCACCTGCATGCAGCACCTGGACGCACAGAGCTGGCCGCCATGCGTGGCCCCGACGAGCCACGCGGACCCTCCCCCTTCCCCGTGTTGAGGTCCTCGGGGTGCTCCTCTGCCCACCCACCCCTGCCCACCCCTGCCCTGGGCCCTGGCTGCCTCGGAACTGTCCATGGCTCAGCCGCTTCTGCCACTGGCCAAGGGCAGGTAACTTCAGGTGCCAGTGCTGGTCAGCCACACGCCTGGCTCTCCTTGGACAGCCCTGAGCACCTGCGAACACCTGGGCAGCTCACCCTCTCGGCGCGGTCCCCTCTGCCGTCCCCTCTGACGCCCCCAGAGACGGATTTGTCCTCACAGCCACCCCCCCAGGGCCACTGCCGTCCCATACAGGAGGGGGTCTGCCCGCTGCATGAACCGTGGGGTTAGCCGTCAGCCGCCTCCTCCCACACCTAGTCCTGCTCGAAGGAGTGGAGGATGATAGGTGTGTGCGCCACGCTGGGCGTGCCTGACAACTGGTCCCTGTGGGAGGTGGCGGCAGGCGGGGTGGCCCGGGGGCCCCCCGGGCAGCGCGCCTGTCTGTCTGCCCACCTGTCCTGCACGCCCAGCCCGGGGGCTGCTCGGCCAGCAGGGCCTCCTCGCCAGGCGGGAACGCACAGGAGGCACGCGGGCCGGGGCGCTGGCCTCCCATGCGCAGGCCGGGTCTCCTCCCAGCGGGCCTGCCCCCCCTTCCCTGCAAGGCCCTCGCCACTTTGGGGTTGTCACCCCTCACCTGGGACTGTTTGGGTGGGAGCCGCTCCAGCCCCCTCACCCGGCAACACGGCCCGTGCGCCCCGAGCTGGGGTGTGAAGTGGAGTGAACACACTTCACGGCTGGCAGGTGCGTGCGGGCGAGCCCCCGCCCCAGCTGTCGCGAGCTGGCGGGATGCCGGGTCCACCACGCTGCTGCCCACGCCGGGCGCTCTGCGCCGCTCACCTCGGTGTCCTGCCGGGCCCGAGGGCAGTGGGCCTGGGGGGTGCTGGGCCTGCGGGGTCCGTGGGCTCTGGTGCTGGGCCTGCGGAGTCGGGACCAGTGGCTCCTCGTGGTCAGAGGCTGCCTGGAGCGGGGGGTCCCGTGTCCCTCTTCCAGCAGCCCCATCCTCGTCCCCTCTCTGCCCCGGGGGCCAGGCGGAGCTTACCCCCAGCTTCCTGGACTCCACTTGTCCACCGCTCTGTGACGTCCGAGTACCCGCTCCGGGGTGCAGAGAACCGCCCCCCAGACGGTCTGGCCCCCTGGCACTCTGGCTGCACCCCCACAACTGCCGCCACTCACGGGATGGGGGCCTCGCCCCCCACCCCCACCCCGCAGCCTAGCGCAGGCGCTGCCCCATGGTCAGCTGCTGGGCAGCTTGTCTGGCTCTGAGCCCCGGGTACTTGGGTCGCCGGGCCGCCCTGGGGAATTCAGGGGACACTTGTGAGATTCTTGGGAAAGCGGAGCTGGAGGGACACGAGGACCCGACTCCGGGGACGGAGGGTCAGCGTGAGGCCGCAGGACCAGCTCCTCCGAAGCGACGCCCTCCCCACAGGCCAGAGTGCCCTGGAGATGGACGGCCGTGCGAAGGGCAGGGTGTGGGGACAGTGGGGCGCAGGGCTGGGGGGCGCGCGAGGGCACGTGGGCCATGGAATCGGAGAAGCACGCGTGCTCTGGGCCAGGCGCAGAAGGAAGCTGTCTCCAGGGGCTCCCCCGGGAGGAAGTGAGCTCCCCGTCCTGGGGGTACAGAGCGGAGACTCGCTCGCTGGGGCTGCAGCTCCTCGAAAGGCTTGCGAGCACCCAGAAGTGAGCGCCCTGGACCCTGGCTCTGCCCACAGCTGCCTGCATCTGAGGCCCACGCATGGCTGAGGCCCCAGGCTCCCTGGGGGGCTGTGGGCGGCACCTCAGTCATAGCGTCTGGGGGACTCTCCGTGATAGCTGTTTACAGAAGCTCTGGCAGGGAGCACTGGGCGCCCACAGCCGGCCTGGCGGGGCCAAGGGTCACGGGGGCGGCTCCCACTTGCTGGCTGGGGTGCAGGGCCCTGAGTGGGGAGGCGCTGGGCCAGGAAGGGCGCCCAGCACAGGTGCGGGAGGGGCGGGCAGGGTGGGGCTTTCCAGCTCCAGTCTCAGGTGGGTGCCAGGTCCTCTCAAGGTGAGGACTGGGTGGGGTGGGGGGTGGGCAGCCTGTGGGCCCAGGGCAGGGGGAACGCAGGCCTTGTCGGGGAGGAGGCAGGGTTCACACCTGGACTTGGGGTCTGAGGCTCCTAAGGGCACAGGTGCCTGAAGGGGTGTGTGGGTCGCTGTGGAAACGCAGTCTTCAGCCCAGGCTGGTGGCTTCAGGCTGCCTCAGAGAGAGACGCTCAGGGTCTGGGGCAGCCAGGGCCCTGCCTCGCCTTTGCCACCTGACAGAGGGGGTGCTGTGTGCCCAAGCCCCGGTCGGGTGTGGGGGCCCTGATGGCACAGGTGGCTGCTGCTGGGGTGCGTTGGAACCGCCTGAGGCAGGCCCCCCTGCCAGGGACAGCAGGGCGGGAGGAGGCGGGGCCTGCGGGGGCGGGGGACCTGTGCCCTGGGCCAAGAGGCAGAGTGTGTGGGACGCGGGGAGGAGCCTGGAGGGGCCGCCCCCTCCTGTGACCTTCCTGCTCGTGGACTGCATGC